TTTCGTTGCTGGTTCTGTACGAGCGGTAACAAGGTCATTCTGCGTAACATCCACGTCATCTGCATTACTTTCCTCAGTGTTAAGGTTGGAAAATCTATTACTCACTTGAATGTTCGGATTCAACACTTCTTTTGTTTGCCCAGCGCAATCAACTGAATCCTGTGTCTCGCTTTGTTTACTCGTTTCACCAGTGTAATTCTTAATTGTGGCGTTGGGTTCGTTGTTCGAATCTTCGACCAGTAGTCTCATAGCAGTAATTAGACTTTCTTTTTCTTGCTCGGCACTCTTGGCCTTTCCTTGCAAATCGGCTAATATATAGGTTAAGTTGTTAATTCTCACGTCCAAGTCACTGTTCTCGACTTTAAGTTTCGCATTCTTATCCGTAAGTTTACGATTCTTTTCTTTTAGTATGGCAATTTCGTTTTCTAATTCTTGATAATTTGGCTGTTTACTGTCATTCGTGTTTTCAATGAGCGACTTTATAGCAGCTGTATTGGTAGATACTGCTTTATTTAGTGCTTCTAATTGATTATTTAGATATTCTAAAGAATGCGACTCGCTCGATTTCTCCGCCTCGCTCGACTGCTCGAAGCTAACGTTCTCATTATAGCTGTCCTGATTCCTTGCTTTGCTTTCTTTAGAATGCAACTCGCTCGACTTTTCCAACGAATGCGACTCGCTTGATTTCTCCGACTCGCTCGATTGCTCGAAGCTAACGTTCTCATTATAGCTGTCCTGATTCCCTGCTTCGCTTTCTTCAACGGCACTAAGTCGTTTTGACACCGAAGCCAACGAAATCAACTGCTCTTTGGTTGCTTCCTTAAGTTTTCCATTAAGCGTGATAGATTGGGTGTCGGAATACCATCGCAAGTCTATATCTTTAGCTTTAAATTGCTTTGCATCTCCACCAGGGGAAGACCAAATGCCATTAGATATATTTAGCCCTTCTTCAACAAACATTTGCAACGCTTGAAATGTTCCTGTCCATTTCAGCTTATCTTTATCATTGAGCGATATATTATGTAGAAGGCTAATTTCCTTGTCTTTATTAGCATTCATCTTTGAAATAGATTTTAGCGGAGCGAAAAAAACACGTCCGACTCGTGAGGTCGGTCCCACGACTTTTCTGGTAGAAAAAAGCTGGTAGAAAAAACTGTATTAATGTCTCAAATTCTTTTCATTACTCTGCCATATCGCTTGTCGTATGTTTGGAATTGACAAAACATCCACAGGGAGTAGAGGAGTTGAGTTTGTCTAGTAAAACAAGAGATGGAAGCACGGAGATGGAAGCACGGCAAGATGGCGGATGCAAAATGTTGGTTATCGTTCCATGTTTCGCGCACCAATATAAGTTAGGGTTAGGGGTTAGGTATTAGGGTTAGGTTAGGGTTAGGGGTTAGGGTTAGGTTTAAGGTTAGGGATAGGGTATGTATATACGTGTATGGAGGTATCCAGTTAACTTTTCAGTACACTATAATATCCATTACATAACGTTTACTATATTGGTGCGCGAAACATGGAACGATTACCAAAATGTTAAGCTCTGTAAAATTTTACAACTTTTATCTGTTTTTTAACTATTATAAACTGATAACGTCAAAATTTTTATAAGTTTTGATTCCCAAACAAGCAATCGTCAAGATACTATAAATAAAGGACATCCTGTGCTTAAAAGATCTTGAAACAGGCCAACTACTGTCTGACGTGGAAGATATACGAAAACGGAAAACATGACCTCCTTGCTAGATAATCTGTCAATTGCCTGGACAGGGGATTTTGATTCTTTAAGGAAATTTACGAGTAACGAACTAAAGCTTGATGGAAACTGGGAGCAGCCTGGCGGTGATAAGAAAATATTTAACAGTGAAAATATTTCTATTACATGGCGGAAGGCCAAAAGCATACTCAATATCGAAGGTGTAGAAGCGGGTAAGATTATTTATTTACTATGTGCCCAGCTTTGTAAAATTAAAACACTGATTCTATAATCCAAAGTGGAAATACAAATTGCTCTAATAGTTCATGTCAGACAGACTTGACTAATTTACAATCCTGTTGTCACAAAAGTTCAGATGTTCATACTAGTATTAATGAAATTCAAACTGGCCAAAAAATCAATTGTGAAGCTATACAAGTAATATCAGACTCTATTGTCTATATTACTAAAGCTATATCTCAATTACGAGAGGATGTTGAGAAAAAACAGGTAAACAATCAAATTGAAAACTACTCAAATCCTATCCATGAATTATTGCACAACGATAATACCAATGAAATTATTAATGAAGCGAATGAAACCAACATAAGTGAAGTTAGCAATTCAAATGGAAAGAATGAAACGAGTAGAATAAAATTGATGATGCGGATGCCTCTAACACTCCCCACCTAAATGACCCCAATGGCAAATATCGTCAAAATGATCCGACTCCGAAACATCTGGTGCCATGCCCCTTCCTGTGCAAGAAAGGTCATTGCCTAAAGGGTTCCAGCAATACCTCCGATTTCATCAGCAACAAGACCGGTCATCCCCTTTTCACAAACGAACTTTGCATCCCTATCAAATCCTTCCACCGATGAAATACCCATTTTACCATCCCCCAGGTTTTATCCGCATATACAGACCCTAATGAAGACTCCCACATGGTCCCCCCAATGCCGACAGTACCACAACAACAACTACCTCCCTTACCGAGTATCGTATGCCGAGACCCTAGTTTAAACCTTGTCCCCATGAATAATAACTATGAATCATATAATATACCCGTGAGAATATCCTTGCGTAATAATACCTTAAGAGGGAATGCTGGTGCTAAAACAATGAATCACAATAACCTAATATTGATTCCTCATACTAATCCCACGACGAAATGCAATGACAGTAATCGAATGTTTGTTCCAAGTTTTATATTATCAAATGTAATGTCCCTGTCACCTAAAATTGATGAAGTACGTCTAGTTATCAAGAAAACTGGAGTTGATATTGCTGTTTTTACAGAAACGTGGCTAAAGCATGTTATTCCTGACTCTGTAGTGCACATCCCAGGGTATAATATAATTCGAAAAGACAGAGTTGAAAGAACACATGGCGGAGTTTGTGTTTACGTTCAAAACCAAATTAAGGTTGAAATCCTGTCTAATTTAATTAGTCCATCTTTTGAGGTCCTTTGGTTAAAACTGCGCCCGAGAAAACTGCCTCGAGGGATATCATCAATTGTTCTTGCTGCGATATATCACCCTCCAGGTTCTGATAACCTAGCTATGATTGACTATCTCATTGACTGTCTAACCAGAGCCGAAGCTATGCATTCAAACTGTGGAATCATTCTCATGGGTGACCTCAATAGATTAAGGACCTCCAGTATATCTCGTTTGTTTAAATTGAAGCAACTTGTAAATTTTCCAACTAGAGGTGAGAGAACATTGGATGTGATTTTGACTAATATATCTCAATTCTTCGATAATCCCGAGAAAATGGCACCCTTTGGTCTATCTGACCATTTTACGATATCGCTTTTTCCAAAGATCAGAAATATTAATACGAATAGACCAAGAGTAGTTAAATCACGTGACATTAGACCAAGCAACAAAATGGCCCTTGGGAGAGTTCTTTCAACAATTGATTGGTCGTGTTTGGATCTAATTAACTCTTGTGAGGGAAAGGTTGACTTTTTTAACAAAATTGTATCTGATTCTCTTAATTTAATCATGCCGATAAAAATCAGGACTATACATAATAATGATGCCCCCTGGATGTCCGACAAACTTAAACGTTCGATTAAGAATCGGCAGCGAGCCTTACAATCAGGGAACAGTATTGAATTTAAATATTATCGCAATGTAGTTAACATGGAACGAAAGAAATGCAAGTCCTCCTACTATGATTGCAAGATTAAAAACCTGAAACATGTTAAGCCTAGGAACTGGTGGAGTGCAGTTAAAAAAATAAGTGGAATGGATACAATCACCAAATCTGATCTTCGCTCCAATTTACAAATTGATGACCTCGATAACTTAAGTGATATCGAGGTTGCAAATAAAATTAATGACAAGTTTCTGGAACCACTCCAAGAGTTTCAACCGTTGCAAATCACAGTACCAAACAACGACTCCATTTCAAATGTCCTCACAGTGTCTGAACTGGACGTCTGGAATTGTTTAAACTCACTCAATCCCTGGAAGTCAGGTGGGCCTGATAATATCCCGTCTTGGGTTCTTAAAGAATATGCAATGATTCTCTCATTACCAGTGATGAAAATCATAAACAGTTCCTACACTGAAAACAAACTACCCCCAATTTGGAAGCAAGCAAATATCATCCCAGTCCCAAAGGTGACGCCAGCTCATGACATTAACCAACATCTTAGACCCATTTCGTTAACTCCTCTACTTTCTAAAGTCGCCGAGGAATTCGTGGTTATTAAGCATTTAAAACCCGCAATCCTTAAAGTTTTAGATGTAAATCAATATGGTGTTATTCCCGGCTCGTCCACAAACCAGGCGCTTATTAAAATGATTCATAAATGGTCGGAGAAAACAGACGGTGCTAGAGCCTCAGTAAGGATTGTTTTGGTTGATTACCAAAAAGCTTTCGATTATGTAGACCACACCATCGTCCTATCTAAACTGAAATCCCTCGAAATCCCTGATTCCACTGTTAGTTGGATTGCAGATTTCCTGAGTGACAGACAACAACGAACCAAATTGGGACACGACTGTTTTTCGGAGTGGGGGAATGTCCCAGCTGGTGTCCCTCAAAGAACCAAGCTGGGTCCGTGGTTATTTATATTGATGATAAACGATCTAAGAACACGTTGTTTAGACAAGGTAAAATTCGTAGACGATCTAACGGTATATGAAACAGTAACCAGATTCGGTTCAAGTGAAATCCAACATGCAGTGTCCGAAATTGAAGAGTGGTCCGAGTCAAACCTTTTCAGATTGAATGAAAACAAATGCAAAGAATTGCGGATATAGACTTTGCGAAAAATAGAAATCCCTTTCCTCCTATTAAAATTAATGGTAAACCTTTACAAGTGGTGGAAGAAGCAAAATTACTGGGTGTTACTATCGCGAACAATTTGAAGTGGAATAGTCATGTCAATAACATAGTGACAAAAAGTTCCAAAAGGATTTACCTTTCAGTGCAGCTGAAACGAGCAAAAGTCGCGATTCAAGATGTTTTACAATTCTATACCGTATGTATCCGCCCCATTCTGGAATCCGCTTCCACTGTTTTCCACTACTCTTTACCTAAATACTTGAGTGATGAAATTGAACGAGTACAAAAATGGGTTCTTCGAATTGTATATCCGAACTTACATTACGAAGCGGATGCATTGATGGAAGCTGGGATGGAGTCATTGTACGCTAGAAGGCAAATTGCTTGCAATAAACTTTTTAATCAAATTTTAAATAACCCGAACCATAAACTTCATAATTTAATCCCTAAAATAGATACTTCATTAAATTACCAATTACGAAACAACAAGAAGATACATGTTCCGAAATTCTATACTGAACGTTTTAAGAATTCGTATGTCATCGCTAGTTGTTTAGACATAAATAATCGTAATTCAACAAATTAGTGTTAGTTTTAATATTTATAATCTTCTTAGTAAGCCATAGCATAGGTTGTAATTTTTTAAATGTAATATAATTTGTATTCAGTCTTATTTATATTGTAATCGCTTACCAATTCAGTATTTGTACTGCAAAAAGTGAATTATTAAACAATCTATCTATCTATCTATCTATCAATCACCGTCTTGAAAATCAGAAGTTTGATATGGTATTGCAACGAATGGACGAGGAAACTCCAATAAGCTTTGCTTATGTAAATTTGTTTACCTCTCCCCATTTGTCAGCAAATGTCATAAACACACCCTGCCTAAAGTGCTTAGCGACGGCCCAAGCAACAGACAACAAGCCTGTTTTAAAGTTTTGCAGATGGGGGGGGGAGTGGAGACAGATCTATGGGGAAGGGGATGCAGGGTGGATGAGCAGGGCTTATAGACACATAAAGTGTCTTATGAGACATTGTAATTTATAATTTATATAAGTTTATTTGCCCAAAAAAGTACATGAATTGCAGAATGCAAGACTCTCCCCTTGGCGAGTAAAATCATCTGGCGTTAGACAGAGTAAAAGAATAAAGTAGGGCGCATTGCTGCTTGATAGATTAAGCAGCAATGTCCCCAAATGCGCCCTACTATATTCTTTTATTCTGTCTAATGCCAGGCGATTTTACTCATCAATTGGAGAGTCTTGCATTCTAATGGTTAATGTACTTTTTTGGGCAAATAAACTTATATAAATTATAAATTACAATGTCTCATAAGACACTTTATGTGTCTATAAGCCCTGCTCATCCACCCTGCGTCCCCTCCCCATAGATCTGTCCCCCAATCTTCAAAACTTTAAAACAGGTTTGTTGTCTGTTGCTAGGGCCGTCGCTAAGCACTTTAGGCAGGGTGAGTTTATGACATTTGCTGACAAATGGGGAGAGGTAAAAAAATTTACATAA